ATATCACCAGACGTCCCAAGGCCCCCAACGTCATGGTAGTTTCATAATGCCGACCCTCAGAGGTCTCGACCCATGCCCCTGGACCAATGTTTCATCCTGAATCGTGTCTTGACAGTCCCGAAGGCCGGTAAAAGCATCCAGAGGCCGAGAACACGGGAAAACCTAGCGTTATGATTTCTTCACCACTCGAGGGGGTCCAGGACTGTGTACTGCTCCTTGCCCGATCCTTGAAGAGGTGGCGGACGAGGAGGAGGAGGAGAAGGAGGAGGAGGAGGCGAAGGAGGAGAAGAATGAGGGGGAGGAGGGGTAGAGGAGAAGGGGGAGGAAGAGGAGGGAGAGGTGGATAGGAGGGGGAGGGGGAGGGGGAGGGAAGGAGGGAGGGAGGAGGAGGAGGAGGAGCCGGACCGTGGGAGAGCCGTGGAAGCACCTGTCCGCTCCTGCTGCTGGCTGGACTCCAGTTCGCGCACCTCGCTCGCGGACAGCTTTCGTATCTCGGAACTGGAGTGCCACCTCCTCGTCCTCCTACTCCTCCTCCTCATCCTCCTCCTCCTCCTTCCTCTCCTCCTCCTCCTCCTCCTCCTTCTACTGAGTTCCACAGTAGGAAGCAGAAATATTCTGGAGTTGCTTTGCTGGCCCAAGGTTCGGCCAACTGGCACCGTGGAATCACTCTGGACAAAATAAAGGCTCACCAGAGCCCTGGAAGTCTCACCCAGGGCACCGAAGAGTGGCTGAAAGCCACAGGCAACGATTTCACCGATAAGTTTGCTAAGCTAGGAGCTCAGATGTTGCAACGTCCCTCGACCAATGAGATTGAGGAAGCCACCATGGACAGATCCCTGCTGGCCAAGTGGTTGCGTTACGTTGCTCGTGCTTTAAGTTTATGGGAGCCAGTTGGACCTAAAGTCAGCAAGACAAAAACATCTTCTCGGGACAAGACGGTTGCCCAGCCCATAGTGGCGGGTGCAGCCAGCGCTCGGGTGGTGTGGACTGGCGAGACCCCTCCTCCGCCAGCTCCTGTGGTCCCGCGGCCCCAAAGTCCTGGCCACTCTTGGGAGTGGAATAGCAGATCCAACAAGTGGCTGTGCTCGACATGCAAGGCCCGATGCTCTGACAGAATTTATCAGACTCGCAAAGATGAGCCATGTCGAAGCTATCATTTACAGATGTCTCAGATAGCTGAGAATCCCCATGGCCACACATTTTATGTTGCCCGACAAGAAGTTTGAACTTCATCATGATGTGCTCTGGCTGCGGCAAGTACAGTGAATCTAATGTCAAGAAGCTCAAAGAGGGCTGCCAAGGCTTCAGGAGGGACGGTGATCGGACCCAGTGGCGTCTGTTGTGCGCTGGGAAACACCCCAAGTCCTCTTTCAGGGACCCATATATTTTCCAGAGCCCTCCTGTAAAGCTCAGAGATTTTATAGCCGCAGAAGCAGCCAGAGTCGCAGCCTCATCTCAACAGCGAGATGGCAGGCAATAGGGCGGATAGACCTTCCGTCCCCCAACCACGTGCTGATCCTCCTCCTTCTACTCCTCCTGCTCCTCCTCCTCCTCCTCCTCCTCCTCCTCCTGCTCCTCCTCCTCCTCCTCCTCCTGCTCCTCCGCCTCCTCCTCCTCCTCCTCTCCTCCTCTTCTCCTCCTCCTCCTCCTCCTACTCCTACTCCTCCCCCCCCCCCCTCCTCCCCTCCTCCCCTCCTCCTTCCTCCTCCCCTTCTCCTCCTCCTCCTCCTCTCCTCCTCCCCTCCTCTTCCTCCCTTCTTTTTCCTTCTCGTCCTGGGCCGTCCGGCGGCACAGCGCGGCCATGGGGAGGGGAGGGGAGGGAAGGGGGGGGAGGAGGAGGGGAGAAGCCAGGGGAAGAGAGGGGGGGGGAGAAGATCGGAGAGAGGAGGAGGAGGAGGAGGAGGAGGAGGAGGAGGAGGAGGAGAAGGAGGAGAAAGGAGGAGGAGTAGGAGGAGGAGGAGGAGAAGGAGGAGGGGAGCATGGGGGGGGAGGGTGGAGGGGGGGAAGGGAGCAGCCGGAGGAGTCAGGAGAGGAGAAGGGTCAGGAGGAGGAGGGGAGGAGGAAAGGGAGAAAGGGAGGGGAGAGGAGAGGAGAGGAGGAAGAGGGAGGAGGAGGAAGAGGAGAAGGAGCAGGAGGAGGAGGAGGAGGAGGAGAAGGTGGGAAGAGGAGGAGGAGAAGGACGAGGAGTTTGATGACTACGAGGAGGAGGAGAAGGAGGAGAAGGAGGGTTTCGAGCGGATCCGAGCAATACCGACTGGGGAAACGCCGCGCGCTGTCTGTCACCAGCGGTCCTGCCTGTCCCCACGCCAGACCTGACAGGAATGAATGGTCGCGCGCGAGCTGGTCTCTGCATTGTAGCTGGATTTGACTCGCCCGCGACTCTGTGGCAACAGAGCCTGCTGCCACTGCCTGCGCTCTCGTACGACCCGGTCCCCGCACTGTAGCTGAGAACCCGTTCCCCCGTCCCACGGGCACCTGCTTGTAGAGCTGGATCCCGCACTGTAGCTGAGATGTTTCTTTCACGAATTTCCATTTGGCCCCCTCTCACACGAGCTGACTCCAGCACCGTAGCTTGTGAGCGGATGCCAATGGCCTTGAGCACAGGGCCAGAACAATCTTGAGCAGCAGCAGCAGGAATGCTGCCACTGCCCTTCTGCCACTCCTGCAGCCACTGCTTGTTTTTCTCGCAAGCCTTGGCGTTCTCGCACAGCCCGTCCAAGCATTGTAGCTGCTGGCGTCTGCAACGCTGTGGCTGTCCAGTTTGGGCTCCAGCTTCGCATGTCTGCTCTCGCAGAATAGTGTCTGAACCGCCTGCTTCTCGGCCTGTGGCTAATGCGCTGTAGCAAATGCCATCGGGCTTTAGCTTCGCCTTCCAGTGTTCGCTGGGTAGCGGCTAAGCCTGCTGCCGCTGCTCACCCGTCTCGCTGACGCGGGGCCCTGCGCTGTTGTTTACGAACGCTGGCTCCAATTTCGCCTCCCACGTCTCGCAGAGTGGTGTCGGAACCGACCGCCGCTGTTCGCCTTCCTCGCACGCCCTGGTCCCGGCGCGGTGGGTAATGACGTCGGGCTCCAGTTTCGCTGTCCAACCCTCTTTGGGTGGCGACAGGAGCTGCTGCCGCTGCTTGCCCTTATCGCGCGCGCTGCCGCAAACGCTGTCTCTGACAAGCACGGGCTCCCGCTTCGCCCCCCGCTTCTCGCACAGCAGTGTTGCGGCAGCACATGACGTCGGGCTCCAGCTTCGCCTCTCGCTTCTAGCAGAGCGGTGCTGCTCGCCGCTCTCGCATGCAGCGCGATGGCCTGCTGCCCCTGCCCGCATTCTCGCACGATCTACTCTCTGCCCTTCAGCTGCGATGGGCCTCGTACCATCA